TCAAGATCTGAGCACTAGCTGTGCTTGTTGCTACTGGATTTGACATTTGTTTTGATTATATTCCATAGTTGATCAAACTTAAGATGACTTGTATTATAAAATACGGCATTGCTGCTCCATTTACCACAAAGAAAGAAAAACATATTTGGCATATATTTACTAAAAGAGCACTTTTAGATTTATTTAGAAAAAAATATTTTTTACGATTTTATTTTCTTAAGTAATCTCTACACCCAACATGGGGCTTGAACTCACAACCCCAAGATTAAGAGTCCCAGGCTCCACTGCCTGAGGCAGCCAGGCGCCCTCGGAACAAGATTTCTTTAATAGATCACTCTTTGATATCTACAATGGAAAACACAAACATAATTAGTTGGTTAAGATAGTTCTACAACTTCCTCATGCCCAGAACCTGATTTCTGCATCATTTTCCCCAAAAATTTTATTGTGAAAATTGTTGAACATACAGTGAATTTGAAAGAATTTTAGAGGGAACTTAAATCTATCAACCTGGTTTCCCATTAATATACATATATTTTTTGGGCGCCTGGGTGGCTCAGTTGGTTAAGCGACTGCCTTCGGCTCAGGTCATGATCCTGGAGTCCCGGGATCGAGTCCCACATCGGGCTCCCTGCTCAGCAGGGAGTCTGCTTCTCCCTCGGACTCTCCTCCCTCTCATGCTGTCTCTCATTCTCTCTCTCTCAAATAAATAAAATCTTTTAAAAAAATTTTAAAAAAATATATATACATATATTTTTTTACACCTACTTTCTCCACAGCTATCCATCTATCCATCCATCAATGCAGACATTTTGACTCATTTTTTTTATTTAGTTTTTTTATTTATTTATTTGACAGAGAGAGACACAGAGAGAGGGAACACAAGCAGGGGGAGTGGGAGAGGGAGAAGCAGGCTTCCCGCAGAGCAGGGAGCCCGATGCGGGGCTCGATCCCAGGACCCCGGGATCACGACCTGAGCGGAAGGCAGACGCTTAACGACTGAGCCACCCAGGCGCCCCTTGACTCATTTTCTTATGTTCTGACTTAGAGTTCTTCACGTTTGTGCTTCCCCATAAATATCGTCCTTGTCTATCAAAAGCATTGTCCAAGGAGCGTTTCACAGGAAAGGGCTCACCTGTTGTCTCTGGGTTTGCTTCCCGGCTCCTTTCAGTGTGCCAATGGCGGGGTTTCCAGACAACAACCAGAACTCATATTCCTTCTTCAAAAGGTTTTTAAGCGATTCGTGCTGAAACGTTAGAGGATTGCACATCACCAGCAACAATCACCAAGCAAGTGATTGGTGATCAAGGCTGCTGTCCGGCGGAGAGCAACTAACCCTAAGATGCCTTCAATGATTCAGTCTGATTTCTGGAGATCTTGAAAGGTGAAAAAACGGAGTAGCTCAGAATTCATAAAATCATGTAGACCCCATTGATCGAGCCCTTCCTATGCTGAACGTCACTGTGATGGTTTTCAGATGAGGAAATGTCTCTCGGGATCTCTGCCCCTCAGTCTCCCTCCATCTGCCCCTCAAGTCTCCCCCTCTGTCTCTTCGTTTCCCTCTGCGCTTCAGTCAACTTCCCAGTGTCCCCCCTCCCCCTCTTCTCCCCACCTCCTTCTGTCTCTCCCTCCTCTCCCATCTGTACAGTTCTCCCTGTTTTGCCGGCTGCCCTCGAGGTAGTTCAGGGTTCTGACTCTCCTCCCTGTCCTCGCTCTTTTTCCTCCAAGCCATAAGGAACGGCCAATTTGTGCTCCAGCTTCCTGCCCCTCCAGCTTGAACGATGGGCCTCTCCCATTAATCTGCAACATTTCTCCACCTTCTGAGACGATCCCATATGATTGCATCTTTAACCTGGGAATGGGCTGGAAGCCGCCGGCACATTTTGTAATGTTGAGATACTTCTGTGTTTCTGAAAGCATCCCTATCATTTTTTGTGAGTCATTGTCTTAAAATATTGCAGAGTTCAGTTGGCTAATATCTTATTTGGAAAACTTCCTTCTGTTTTATGAGGTGCCGTTTGCCTAGTTGTTTTGGGTTTTTTAATCCTATTTTTCTAGGTTTGTTACGGGAATTGTGCCAACCATTCAAAAGATTTTGGGAACGTCCTTTCTTTTTCTCTTTTCTGGACCACTTCCCACAACCTAGGAGTTCTTTGTTTGACTATATGGCAGAATTGCCTATAAATCATCTAATGCCATTCAAGAGTGTAGATCTTTTACTTCCTTTGTTACTTCTTTGATTATTGGTGTATTAGATTTTCTACTTTTTCAAATGCCAGTTATCATCATGAATACTTCCATGGAGAAACCCCATTTTCATTTTATTTATTTGTTTGTTTACTTACTTTGGGGGGGTATAAAATATCCTCTGCTCGGTTGATGCCGTTAGGATCCAGCCCTCGATCCTGATTGGACATCAAGGGTAAGGGGTGGGTCTTTAAGCCCTGAGTGACACTGCTGGAAACATCGCAGGAAACTTGGATAGAACGTCCTCAGGCAAAGCGGGTCGCGGTGGCTCCACACACGTCCAGTCGTGTTGACCGACCAGTTCGTGGACCCGGGAAGCAGCGGTCCCTGTGCACGGGGGGAGGAGTGCTGCCCACCCGCAGGAGAAGGAATAGAGGACCGCACCGTCAGGGAGCACCATCTTGCATGGTATGTGCGAATGGCGCCCCCTAGAGCTCAAATGTGGGTGGTGACCCTGGAGTTAGGCAATGAGGCCACCAACCGGGAGGTGTCCAGGTCTTGGTTACACCCATTGTCCCAAACTCTCAGGACATTGTTTGGTGCCCTTCGGGGTCACACTACCCAGTCAGGTTCCCACCATCAGGACCCCTGTTTGGCCGCGGTGTTAAGACACAGCTGCCAGTTCGTCCAAGGACAGACACCTCTGCCACACCCCGTAACCATTTTACAAGCTCTTGTGCAAAAGACTTTGGGCTTCCGGGGAGGGGGGTGAGCCAAGAGACCTTTTGTCAGTCTTCATCGTGATTAATCTGCCTAATCATTGTCTGCGGCAATTGCCAGGCAGTTCTCTCATTATAATCTTGCGCTCTTGGCTTTAAAAATTTCTCCAAACTAAGGTAAATAGAACAGACTTGTTTGGGGCTCTTTAATGTCGGTAGGCCACTAAGGGGGTCCTTTTGGCCTGCGCAACCTTTGGTAGTACTCTATTAAAACCTTTGAGCCCCATCAGTGTTCCCTTTCCTCACCCCATTTCTTAATAACCACCTAGCCAGCAAGGGTGTGGATGTTCATGTGGTGGGCCAGGACCCGTGCGGATGGGGTAGAAGCGTCAGCACCTGTTCCCAGGGCTGTTGGCTTGCAAGTATAATTTGAAACTGGTGACCATACAGAAAGGGCAAGAAGAGACAAAAGAAAGAGGCAGACTACTCCAGCTTGGTAAGTGAAAGGTTTAATCAACGAAGGAATTCACATTAGGACTGGGGAAAGGCAAGTGGAAAGCACATTCCAGGGACAGGGAAGGGGCTAAGGAGCCTCTAATTGCGCGTGTCCTGCTCATGGGTCCACCAGCTGTCACATCCTTTCTATGACCTCCTCCAGCAGGAGCTCAGCTCAGGGGCATGGACTCTAGGCAGCTCCATCAGCTGGGATTAGCGTGGGCAAACCCTGCGTGAGTCCTCGGTGGCAAAAAGTGTAGGTGTCCCACTTGGGTCCTCATGGTGAAAGCTGCTGGAGTCTTCTCCTTTTCTCCTCGGTGGGGAGGTGCATTACAGCCAAGGGGATCCCTCTTGGCAGCAAACACTATAGAACTTGGGGATGAGGTGACACCAGTAAAATGCCTCCTATGCTTTTCTAGGAGGGCCTCAGGTTCGTGCTCCCCTGGGTTGCTGCAGCTTCTTGTTCTCCACAACTCTTCTCTGAGCTGTTTTCACCAGTAAGTAGTTTGTTAAATCACTGTGGTTTTTTTTTTTAAGATTTTATTTATTTATTTGACAGAGAGAGACACAACAAGAGAGGGAACACAAGCAGGGGCAGAGGGAGAGGGAGAAGCAGGCTTCCCGCCGAGCAGGGAACGCAATGCGGGGCTCGATCCCAGGACCCCGGGATCATGACCTGAGCAGAAGGCAGACTTTAACCAACTGAGCCACCCAGGTGCCCCTAAATCATTGTTTTTGTGGAAACACAAGTGCTAGGACCTCCTAGTCCCCCATCTTGCTGATGTCACTCTGTTTTTAAGAGAGAAAATGGTCCATGGGGTACAGGTGCAGGGGAGCTTGGTCTGCATGGGATTGACTTTAGTTGGGGTGCTTTCATGGAACCAGCTCAACTGGGACAAGCTAGCACCCAAGGAAAACAGCTGGTTTCTGCTACCATTCTAAAGGTGCTATGCCTGTCCTTCGTACTGAAATTTGGCTGAGAGGGTACCACTCCGAGGACAGAACTTACAGGCAATGATGAAAGGTAGAGAATTTTTTTTAAGATTTTTTTTTAAAGATTTTATTTATTTATTGGACAGAGACACAGTAAGAGAGGGAACACAAGCAGGGGGGAGTGGGAGAGGGAGAAGCAGGCTTTCCGCAGAGCAGGGAGCCCGATGCGGGGCTCGATCCCAGGACCCCGGGATCATGACCTGAGCTGAAGGCAGACGCTTAATGACTGAGCCACCCAGGCGCCCCCTTTTTTTAAGATTTTATTTGAGAGAAAAAGAGCATGAGCAGGGGGAAAGGGAGAAGCAGACTCCCCACTGAGCAGGGAGTCCGATTTGGGGCTCCATCCCAGAACCCTGAGATCATGACCCGAGCTGAAGGCAGCTGCTTAGCCGACCTGAGCCACCCAGGCTCCCCAGGTAGAGATTTCTTTCTTCTTACAGAACTAGATGAATTGGTGGGCTCTAATCCATTTAGACTCAAGTTGACCCATTAAACGCATATGGGAAATGTCTCTTAAGTTGGTCAAGATTTGGATCACAGAATATCTGTCCTGGCACATACCAGTTGCTCAATAAATTAATAAATGGATGTGTCAGCCATACCACTTCAACTGCGGCACTTGGGGGGGAGGTACTGATCTAGACTGCTGGGATCATCATCCCCAGGTAAGGCATATAGCTGTATAAACTGATCTATGTCATAGGGACTGGAGGCCCAAGGAGGATCAGAGTCCCCCAGACATATCTCTTGGAGATCAGAAGGCTGAGAATCCCAAGATGAATTCCCTCTGGAGGGACCAGGTTCGTCATTCTTGGGAGACTGAGGCAGTTCATGGTCAGAGGCATCCGAAATGCTGGGACTCTTGAGATGAGTGTTTGCCGAAGTTATAGGTAAGGACTCCCCCTCCTCCTTGCCTGGAATGGTCCGGTTTGGTGATTCTCGTGATGCATTTGATCCATTTGCTTGCTGCTCTTTCTTCCTTTTGATGCGCTGGTTCTTGAACCAAGTCTGGGGAGAGAGGAGGTGAGAAGGTTCATAAAAGGGGGGGTGCGTCCAAAGGGGAATCTCGTGTTCCTCAGAAATTAGGCTCTTTTGGCATGAGAAGGCTAGTCTCGCATCTCTTCAGTTATCTGAACAAGGGAAGTTCCTGCTATCCTCTGCTGTCCTGAGTTCCAGAAGGCAAACGGGGGCGTTAAGGTCGTGCTTGCAATGGGTGGAACAGGACAGAGCACTCAAACGCCAGATCAGGGTGGGGGGAAGGCAAGGTGCTCCTGTCTTGGTGGATGCTCGGCATTTTCAGAGAGAATTCTGAAGATTGAGAATATGGAGTAGGAGTCTAGCTTGGGGTGTCTTCAGGATTCATCCAGGGGTCCTCATGCCCCAAATGCTCTGTGGGAACTTAGTTGCAAGGCATCTAAATGACTGTGAATGTCCTGATTAAGAACCTAGAAGTATAAACAGGAACAGACCCCAAGGGGATTATCTGAGGTCCATCCCCAAAAGGTCCCTTGTAGCATTGTGGTTCTGGAGTCAGAAAGGTCTGTGTTCAAATTCTAGCTCTTGTGTTTATAATCCTTGGAGGAGTCTGTGAACCTTAGTGTTCCTCAATAAAATGGATGGTCATAAGAGAGAAAATATAGAACATCTGTCCTGACACATACCAGTTGTTCAATAAATGGGATTTACATGATGTGTGAATTATAAGTGTGTGTGATACTCTGGGTTAGGTGTGCTATCTAGAGACATCCTCAGGGACATACCTTTACTACTGACTCATCAAGATGAGTAATTGAAATAAGTTCCTCCGTGGTCGCCCAATCTGGGTACATGGTCTTTTCAAACACACGTTTCAGGGCCTGGAGCTGTTCCACACTAAAGTGTGTGCGGCCCCGGCGAGCATACCTTGGATTTTCTGCAAAAGGAATAGACAAAAGGCTTTCGTTAAAAAAAAAAAAATTATATATATATATATACACACTCCAAGGTAAACTTCTGACCTCAGACTCACCTGGGAGCTAAGAGCTTGGTCCAAAAAGTTGACTCATGGAACCCACTCTTCACCATCTTGCTGGGGTTGCTTTGTGCCCCTGAAATTCAGTTTCCCCTACTAGAAAATGGTTCAAGCCTGGTTTTAAGGGTAAGTAACTGTCCACTTATTCTAGAGGAATATACTGGAGACTCACAGCCTAGAAAAATGAACCAGACTAGTGGGAGAAAAGATATCTGTCCTCATTGGGATAACATAGTGACATGATATCGACATGGGATTCATTTGAGTTCATATGATTCAGAGAGTATTTGAGTGTTTGAGACCCTGTAATCAGCCATGGCTCAGGGGCACTGTTCTCTACACTGGTCGATGTGTGAGAGCCTGAAGCTATTGATTTGGCCACTTATTAATGAGGCCAGTTAGGGAAGAAGGCATGAAGCTCAGTGACCTGAGAAAGAATGTTGATTATCCCATTTATTAGCTTTGTCACTCTGGGAGTACCGTGACACTTATATTCTTTGCCTCTTTTCTCTATCAGTAAAATTGTCCCATATAATTCACTCACTTTGGGGAAGAGATGACTATCCAGAAAGCAAGTCTGTTAATTATAGGCTTTGGTGCATAATAGGTACAGAGTGGGAGTTTTTTACTATTGTTTAAAATATAAATGTAAAACCACGTCATCTAGCGATATTTGATCCATTTTCTATAGGAGATTCTATTTATGTAGGAGGCCCTTATTCTTCATACAAAGGCATACATACAAAAAAGCCAGCATTCTGCTAAGCCCCCCACTGTGAAGACAAGAGGTCAGTCAGAGATTTCTCACAGTTTTTCAGTGTCTATTTGAACACAAAGAGAGGGGGGCGGAAATTATAAGACCTTGGAGGAAGCCTTCAAACATGAGGAAGACACAGAGACAGAGCAAGAGAAAAGATGAAACAGGAGGAAGAGGTACAAATTAACGGACAGAAACATTTTTCTTAAGAAAAGGAATAAGGGCGCCTGGGTGGCTCAGTTGTTAAGCATCTGCCTTTGGCTCAGGTCATGATCCCAGGGTCCTAGGATCGAGTCCCACATCGGGCACCTTGCTCAGCGGAGAGCCTGCTTCTCCTTCTCCCCCTGCTGCTCCCCCTGCTTGTGCTCTCTCTCTGTCAAAGAAAGGAAGGAAGGAAGAAAGAAAAGAAAGAAAGAAAAAGAAATCTTTTTAAAATAATAAAAGAAAAAGAAAAAATAAAGTCTTAGAGGGGTGCCTGGGTGGCCCAGTCATTTGAGCAACCAACTCTTGGTTTTGACTCAGGTCATGATCTCAGGGTCGTGAGATCAAGCCCTGTCAGACTCCGTGCTCAGTGTAGAGTCTGCTTGGGATTCTTTCCCCCCTTGCCTGTGCCCCTCCCACATGGGTGCTCTCTCTCTCTCACTCTCTCTCAAATAAATAAGTAAAATCTTGAAAGAAGAAGAAAAAAAGAAAGAAAGAAAGAAAGAAAGAAAGAAAGAAAGAAAGAAAGAAAAGAAAGAAAGAAAAAGAGAAAGAAAGACACTTCTAAACTAGGCTTTCAAAATAAATAATAAAAGGAAAATATTGATAAATATCACAACATCAATATTTAAAATATTTGGACAATAGAAGTCATAAGTAATTGAAAAATACAGACCACAGATGAGAGAACATATTTGCAACAAATAAGAGAAATTATTAGTGTCTAAAATACAACAAAAATGTTCTAAGCCTCAAGAAAAAAATACTAGAAAATAAAAAAGGACAAGTGGAGAATTCACACAAAAGAAAAGCAGAATGGACTTTATTTATTTTTTTTTAAGATTTTATTTATTAATTTGAGACACAGAGATAGCATGAGCAGGGGGAGAGGCAGAGGCAGAGGGAGAAGCAGGCTCCCCACTCAGCCAGGATCCTGTTGCAGGGCTCGACCCCAGGACCCTGGGATCATGACCTGAGCTGAAGGCAGATGCTTAACCATCTGAGCCACCCAGGCACCCCCAGAATGGACTTTAAAATAGAGCAAGGAGGGGTGCCTGGGTGGCTCAGTCGCTTGAGCATCTGACTCTTGATTTCTGCTCTTCTGCTCAGGTCATGATCTCAGGGTTGGTCATAGAATTAAGCCCCAAGTTAGGCTCCTGCTGAGTGTGGAGCCTGCTTAGGATTCTCTCTCTCCTCTCTCTGCCCCTCCCAGTGCACTCTCTCTCTCTCTCTCTCTCTCAAAAAGAAAAATAGTGCAAGGAGTCTCAATTTCACTAGGTAATAAAGAAATGGAAAACGGATCAAATATCAAGTACTATTTTATACTCACTGTTAGAAACAAGACAATGAGCCCAAAATGGAGTGGCTCGTGCTAATCCCCACATTACCATACTGATGATGTCATACACCATAGTTTCTGCTCTCCCAAGAATGGACTCTTAAACCAATCAGGAATTGCTTGATCTCTACTAGTTAGGGAATCACCTGATAGACCCCTGCCATCCCCCACAGGAAACCAGCCTTGCAATAACCAATCCACTTGTTTGTCTAGTATAACTTGCTTTCTCCCCCCACTCCCTTCTGCCCAGAAAAGTCTATCCTTTAGTACAGTTCCACAGAGGTCCTTTCTATTGGCTAGATTGGATGCTGCCTGGTTCACAAATCGTCAGATACAGCCAGTAGGATCTTAACAATTTACTCAGTTGAATTTCCTTGTTTAACACCACCAAATGGCTGACATTTGAAAGTCTGACAGGACCAAGTATTAAAAAGGACTTGGAAAAACAAAATCTCACGGTAATGGTGGAGTCCAGTTACAAAGTGTTTTCCAGTGCTCCCTGTTGGTATAACCTATTGGTTTTCCAACTGGCCACTTGGTGTTGGCAAGAGCCTACCAGCAAAGTCCCACCCACTTACCTCTGCTTGTCCGAAACCCTTTGCCCCAGCTTACCTGCCATATTATCCCCTTAAAGTGCAGTGATTCCTTCAGCTGTGTGTCTTCTGAGCTCCTGAATTTCGTCTATGTATCTGCTGGGTTTAGGGGCCTCCCATTTAAGCAAAATTTTGATGTAATCAGGTCCCTGCCCAGTCCCTCCCTAACGTCACACCCTCTAATGATCCATTCAATACATGCACATTAAGAACTTATTCTGTGCCTGGTGCTGTCCTGGGTCCTGGGATAAAGCAGTGATCCCATACTTAATCTCCGACCTCAAATGGTGGAGGAAAACAAACGGAAGTCAAGCAAACAGAAAAATGGATAAAATGTCCAAAACTGGCACTCAGAACAAAAGAGTAAACATGGTAAAGAGTAAAAATGTAAGATGAGCGAACCCAAAAAGCGAAGGATGGGCTGTATGCATGGTCAGCTCCTGGTGAGACCCGCAGAGCAGGGGGAGAGGGGACGGGGAGCACGGGAAGGCCTCTCACCATCCCCCTACCCGGCCGTTCCCAAATGAGGCAGCAACAGGCAAGGAAGGGTGCAGGTCTTGGCAGAGCCTAAATCATAGACATCCTCGTAAATTCTGTGAAGGAGTTTGCATTTGGGACTGTTGAAAACCCAAGGAGAGTTCTGAGCAAAGGAGCTCAACATATAAATTGCCTTTTTTTTTTTTTTTAATCATGCCTTCCTCTTGCCTCCCGGCTTCCCATTCCCTGTCCCTCTGTTCTGCATTTTCTCCCCTTCTCAGGTGACATGTCTGCTCGCTTACTTATTGCTCCCCATGATGTTCTTCTCCAAGGCTGGTTATTCCTAAGAGGGGTCTAACTGGGTGGACGAGTTGGCTCTAGTTCCTGATCATCCGCCTGGGATGCCCCACACCCGATGTGGACCCAGCTTCTCTGACTTGGAGTTGGGACCTGGCCTTGGCCGGTCTCAGCTGCCCCCCACTCCACCCTCACCCCCCATCCCCACACACTCATCACCCTGGCTTGGAGAGGCCTTGAAAGAGCCGAAGAACACTGGCTCTGGAAACATGGTGGGTAGCCCAAGGCCGCAACGATTGAAGCGCCTATCTGTGTTTCATACAAGAAGAAAATTCAGGGAAACTTTTGAAGTGATCAACTGTAGAAACACCTCTCCAAAAATCTATTCAAAGGGGTAAAGGCAGGCCTCGAATTTTCCACGTAAATTTTAGAATCGAGGGGCGCCTGGGTGGCTCAGTCGGTTGGGCATCTGTCTTCAGCTCAGGTCATGATCTCAGGGTCCTGGGATCGAGCCCTGCATTGGGCTCCCCACTCAGCAGGGAGTCTGCTTCTCCCTCCCCTTCTGCCCCTCCCCCCTGCTCATGCTCTTTCTCTCTCTTGCTGTCTCGCTCTCTCTCAAATAAATAAATAATATCTTCAAAAAAAAAAAACTTTTAGAATCAAACCCTGGAGTCTCCTTGTGAAGTGAAAGAGGATGAAGAGGGTGGTGTATTCAAAAAGTATGAAAGTCAAAATAGCAGAGGATTTTGCAGTGGGTTCATGTTTAAAAAAAAAAATCCTGTCCCTTCTTCAGCTTGCTCACTTAACGGTAATTTGAGTGATCGGTCTGCCAACATCTTGTTCTGGTGAACGGGAAATCAAGATTTAGAAAAACAGAACTTATCTCTGCCTTCGAAAGTGCTGGCACCCTAGGAAGGGAAGCAGAAAATAAATAAGCAAGCAGCCAGTGTGATGTATACTGGTATTATGCATGCCATCAACAGCACTGGTTAGAGGAAGCACATAAGACCGGTGCCCCAAGCACACAGCTCTGAGGAGGTGTCTGTTTTACTGAAAGATAAGGAACAGTGTTCTAAGCAAACAGAACAGCAAACTTGAAGGCTCGGAGACACGAGAAACCTTTTGACATCTGAGGGGCGGACAGAAGGGCGCTGTAGCCTAGGTGTTTTAGGGAAGGGGGGTAGTGGGAGAAAATGAAGATGGAGAGACAGACCAAGACCAGATCACATTGAAGGAGTTTGGACTTTATTCCAAATGAAGCAGAACACCATTTAAGGGGCCCCGGGAGAGAAGAAGACACCCAGCTCACTCTTTTCCCATGAGGTTTGAGAAGTGAGAGACAAAGTAACTTCAACTTGAGAGGGCTACCAGAGGTGCCCGGCATTCACCTGATGGGCAGGTTCAGCTGGGGCTGGAAAGGATTTGATGTTCTCTTTCTGTTCCACCTGCTTTGAGCATCGGCTTCCCTGGCCCCATTCACCACCTTCTCATAAAACCCTTCTCTGATCCCCCAAACCAGGTCAGGACCTCTGTTTTATGCTGCCAGCATTCCTGTACGTTATTATAACCTTCCTGGGTTTATTTGTGTGGGTTCTGATAATGCTTCTCCCCATGAGGGAGGGCTCCTTCCCTCCCCAGTGATCCTCAATGGGAGCATCCTCAGTGGACCCGGTCCATGGTAGTGCTCATTACGAGGGTTTAGGAGGCATGAAAAAATGTCGGACTCCTTCTGGAGAAAAGTGTGGCTGTGGTTGACCTTGCTACTGCAGGAGTTTGAACATAAATAGAACTTTCGATTACAGATGAGCCTTGAACAGCATGGGTTTGAACTGTACCAGTCTATTTTTTATAGCACAGTATTTTCCTTTTGATTTTCTTCATATTTTCTTTTCTCTAGCTTACCTTTTTTTATTTTCCTTTTTTTTAAGATTCTATTTTTGAGTAATCTCTACACCCAGTGTGGGGCTCAAACCCACAACCCCGAGATCAAGAGTCGCACGCTCCACCGACTGAGCCAGCCAGGTGCCCCTAGCTTACTTTATTGTAAAAGTACAGTATATAATACATAAAACATACAAAATACATGTTAATTAACTGTTTAGGTTATCTGTAAGGCTTTCAGTCAACAGTAGGCTATTAGTAGTTATGATTTTGGAGAGTCAAAAGCTATACGCAGATTTTCAACTATGCCAGGCATCAACATCCCTAACCCCTGCGTTGTTCAAGGACCCACTTTTTTAGTGCCTATTGCAGGATTGTGAATTCTAAATTGGTGAGTTATGGGGCGCCTGGGTGGCTCAGTCAGTTAGGCATCTGCCTTCGGCTCCGGTCATGATCCCAGGGTCCTGGGATCGAGCCCCGCATCGGGCTCCATGCTCAGCGGGAAGCCTGCTTCTCCCTCTCCCTCTGCCTGCCTGCCTACATGTGATCTCTCTCTCTCTCTGTCAAATAAATAAATAAAATCTTTAAAAAAAAAAAGCCAAAACTAACTAGCTACATCTATCTATCTATCTATCGTTTGTCACTTTAGGTTGTACTTTGCACTACAAGACACTTCCACTGGCCTGTCTCAGGCATGTTTATAAGTTTATAAGCCACAGTTTTATTTTCTATTTTTATTTAACATACATGTAGAAAAGTATATAAATGATTAGTGTATTAGTTGGTGATTTCTCACACACACACAGTCAGCACCTAGATCTTGAAACAGAATATGACCAGCACCCTAAAGGCCTCTTTCACCCCCTTCCAGTCTCTGCCCATCTAATGGTAACTCTTCTTCCGACTGATGACCTCAGAAAGTAGTTCTGCCTGCTTCTGAGCCTTATATAAATGGATCACACAGTATGACGCTCTTTTGTGTCTAGCTTCTTTTGCTAGACATACTGTTTCCATCATAATGTATTCATTCATTTGCATTTGTGCATCGTACGCCATTGTGTAAATGCACTGGTTTGTAAATTCATCCTAGTGTCGATGGGTATTTGGGCAGTTGGGGCTATTACAAACAGTACCGCTGTAAACATTCTTGTACGTGTATTTTGGTGAATGTATGTAAGCGTATGTTCCCTATTTTCTGAGATTTTCCCAAGATCCAGACTGGGGGATTACCCTTCCCCAAAGACCATATGTATGTACCTTGTTGAACTTATTTCTAATTGTGTGCTCTTTTTTGAACTGGTTCCTGTAGCCTCCTAGACTCTTAAGATTTCCAGGTAGAGTTTGTCGTGGTTTTCCATTTGTTTGAATAAACATTTCGTTTGGAATAATTGTAGACTTACAGAAAAGTTGGGAAGACAGTGCAGCGTTTCCATATACACTTTGTCCAGATCCCTCTGCTGTTAACATCTTACACACCCAAGTACATTTCTCCATACTGAGAAATTTACATTGCTACATTATTATCAACAAAATTTTAGACTTTACAATTGATTGTCTTACTGTCTCCATGATGTTGCCATTTCCTGAATGTCATGTACAGTAGGAAGCCCTTGCAGATTGGCTTCTTTCACTTAGTTGTATGCATTTAAGGGTCTTCCATGTCTTCTGTGGCTTGACAGCTTATCTCTTTTTAGCGCTGAATAATATTCCGGATGGACCACAGTTTATTTATCCACTCACCTGCTGAGAGACATCTTGTTTGTGCCCAAGTTTGGGCGGTTATGAATAAAGCTTCCATAAACATTCACATGCAGGCTTTTGTGTGGACATAAATTTTTAATTCCTTTGAGTAAATATTTAGGAGTACAACTGCATATTGTAAGAGTATGTCTCGTTTTGTAAGAAACCACCAAACTGTCTTCCGAAGGAGCTGTACCATTTTGCATTCCCACCAGCAATGAATGAGAGATCCTGTTGCTTCTCACCCTCACCAGCACTTGGTACTGTCAGTGTTCCAGATTTGGGCCATTCTCCTAGGTATAAAGTGGTATCTCATTGTTTCACTTATTTATTTATTTTTAAAGATTTTATTTATGTATTTGAGAGAGAGACACAGATAGCGACAGGGATAGTGAGAGAGAGCACAAGCAGGGAGGGGGGAGTGGGAGAGGGAGAAGCAGGCTCCCCGCTGAGCAGGGAGCCCGACGTGGGGCTTGATCCCAGGACCCTGGGATCATGACTTGAGCCGGAGGCAGATGCTTAACTGACTGAGCCACCCAGGAGCCCCACATTGTTTTTTTGTGTTTTTTTTTTAATATCTCTTTTTTTAAAGATTTTATTTATTTATTTGACAGAGAGAGACACAGCGAGA